GTTCCCCACGCGCACACACGGAGGAGTGAGCCCGGCCTCTGGGACCCAGGACTGCAAACAGCAACTTCCCACTGCACATGAGCTGAAAGAAAGTTTCATAGGCCAAAGGATTGGCTGCAATTCCCCAGAACTCCTCAACCCCAAATAACACGCAAATGCAAGAGCTACAAGGGTCCTTTGGACTACAAAACATTAAAACGACCCGAATACAGCAGCCATGCTTGCTCTCCACCCCAAAATCAAGTTGCTGTTCACACGCTGTGTTGGCGCTTGCGGTGAAGATTCTTTGGGGTTATACAAGAGCAGGGAGCACATTTCAGAGCAGCAGGGTCCAAACCTCACCAGGATGTTTTTCCTTCCTGGAAACAGCCGTGGACCAACAGGCTGAGAGCTCCAGGCAGGTGCCGACACGTTAGATCTCCTAGTGGTCTTTGCCATCAATGCTTTCCGATTACAGCGAGTTCCCACTCATCCAATGTGGGTCAAAGACCATATCTTCAAGAGTAAAAGCAGGACACCCCCCATCGTACCATGCAGCCTCGGGGCAGGAGGCAAAAGCAGAGGCACACATGGCTAAGCTTCTCTCTGCCTGTGCTCCAGCCAAGTTGCCAGGTCTGGTTTGTGCTCTCCGTAACAAAGGTAGCTGCATCCTATTTAGTTGAAATTAGCACTCACTGTTGCCTACACAGGTAATTTCCTGCACTGTGTCCCACTTTCTCAGCAACACAAGCTCCCATTCAGCAAGGCACTTGCGCACAGGAACTCACTGCCTTCAGCAAGAGCTAAGCACAAACTCCAGAGCTTTGCTGATTAAGCACAGAACTGACAATTCCTTTCCCTTTAGAGCACTTCACTTCGCAGGAGAGTCCTCCAAAAAAATTCCTCCTTCCTCCTTACTTTCTTAGTGATTTCTATCATGCCCTGAAAACATATGCAACAACACTATTACAGTCAGAACCCTATGGACACTGTACAAAAAGATGTGTGCCAAGCACACACCCCTGTCAAGGCAGATGAATAGCTATGATAGCAAAAGTGATCCTGATCAGGTGTCTTCTCTTCTAGACTAATTTTCCCCAATATGGCAACAAACCAAAAGTGGTGGCACTGATCTGATTGACAAAGCAAATCCAGTTGACTGAACAGGAGACTGCATGACTCTGTTTCCCTCCATCCGTTTCCACAGAGATGGAAGGATGCTCCCCAAATCCCGTAATAACTCGATCCCTGCAGCCCCATCCTCATCCACTCCCTCACTTCTAGTCACTCAAACCTGCGCATCTTTCATTGGTGCTCAGGAAAAACAGTTCAATTTGGATCTGTGATTCCTGTAGGGAATCCAACTGGAGACCAGCCGGGGCTCATCCCAGTGCCAAAGACAAAAGGAAGCTCTTTCAGCTTTAGTTACGATGCAACACCAAAAGCCGCCGGCATGCATACATGGAGGTTCCTTCTGCTCACACCTGCGTTTTATTGAGAATAATCAGGTCTCATTTATCCCAGAGCTCTACAACTAACTACAGAATTAAAAATGGTGGTGACATACCCTGAGAAGGTGGAGCTGAAGTACTTGGGAGAGAAGACAACTGTGTCTGGTCTCACACGCTTCTGCTCAGAAGCATTTGATGATTACTGTTGTAAGAACAAAAATCACTATGGATGACTGCCATTTCCCGCTTCCCTGTGCTGTCAGAAAGATCCTGAGAAAGCTCCAGTTTTCAGTGGAATGTACAATTTATTTATTTTTGAAGTGTGGGTATCAGAAATACTTCCCAGACTCTTGTTCTCTTTACCTCCCGTTCCCTTCCTGCCTCCCAGTTTCTAGCTGATCTGTGATATCAGGATGCTGCGAGAGGAACAATGTACCTGGGGAGGCAAAGCGTTCTTTGCCGCTCACCAGAGCCCTCAGCATCATGGCTGGACTGAGAGCCTTTCTGAAGGACTAGTGCTGGCTCAGCACAAGTCACAGGCTTGATGCCATAATCCCTACATGAAAGGGTTATGCAAAGGGTCAGAATAGGTGATGATAAAGTTCCCTTCCAGCCAAAACAATCTATGAACCTCCAAGGAAATCCACCATCCTCTGGCAAAAGCCAGGACCAGACTTTCTGAAGTGTAACAATGTCTGGCTCCAGAATTGCAGGGGCAGTGCCTCTGAAGAGCTATGAAATCATCTCTTCTGCTTGGGAGGTTCGACAAACTAAGTTGGCATCGCCTGTCAGCCCCAGACCACAAAACTGGAACGCTGGGAACAAAACCAGAGCAGATACGTTCAGAACGGCTTTAAAGCTAAATGTTACACTGCTAAAGAGGAGAAAAAAAAAAAAAAGGCACTTAACCTGGCTTTTCAATGCAGTAAAAGTGAATTCAGAGATTTCCTTTGAACGTGCTAGGAAGCCGTTGTGCAACCCAGCCTGCTCAGCGGGCCCAAGGTGGGAATGGCAGAAGCGCTGCAAGTCAGGACCAAGGTACCTGAGCAGAGCTGTGTGGGAGGCAAGGCCCGGAGTCGCAGCAGAGCAGATGCTTCAGAGAGAACGGGAGCTGGCGGAGATTAATGAAGGAAGCTCAGACAGGATCTGTCTGTAGGAGGCCTGGCTCCATTCAAAGCCATTAACTTGTTGCTTTCTGAACACCAACAGGACTGGAAACAAAAGCATGTCTGCCCAGCATGGTTCATGTTCAGTGAGTGCTTAAATATTCCAGCAGAATGAGAGCATTAAGAAAGGCAGAGAGCCACTTCAATGGCTGCAGGCTCACAGGGCTGCAAGTTTTTGCATGAAGCCCAAGTCAAAACCAGGCAGGCAACTGGGATGTAGCCTTGAAAGCAGAAACAAATAAATTACTAGCCTTCATTTTCTCCCATTCAGGACTTCAGATTTAAAGGGGAGTCCATCAACTTTAAATAAATCATGCTTATAATTAAAAACATATTTTCCTGTGCTGCTTACAAGCCTTTGGATGATTAATAAGGCATTTTTCAAATTGCTTTAATTCACACTAATTACGCTGCTTGTTTACCCCAGTCAATAATTTTTCTTCCAGGGAGATAAAGCTATCCCAGGAGGAGGTCTCCCTCCAGGGACCAAGAGGGAAAGGAGCCCAAGGGAAGCGCCTAAGGCACCAGTAACACATGGGAGGTCTTTCACTGGAAGCGACAGAGCTGGTTACATGAGTCATGTCACATCGAACACTCCCAGGACTTCTTTTGCTAAGCCTGACTCTTTGTCTAGATAAGATGAGAAGACATGAGCTTGCTCAGCTCCCAGAGGCCTTGAGCTGTGTTTTGCCTAGACCTTGCCTGAGGTGCCAACCTTGCCAGGGCACCAGACTTGGTAGGTTTAGCATGAAAACACAGCAGCGACTCCACAGCTGCTGGGTTGGGTCAGGCTTAGAAAGAAAGCAGCCCTATCTCCTCCTATTTCGTTTGCAGATGCTGGAAAGCCTCTCAGCCCTTTAGAAAAATATAGAACAACAAATTGAACAAGAATTCTCTTCCCAGTTATTCCCTTTCAACATTATTTAAACGGGCTAGATATATACATAAAGAAAAGCAATGGTGCATTTCCATTCCTGCCCTAGCACTGCAGCCTGCCTTTGTGGTGCGAATGGATTTGCTGGGTCACCTTTCCACAGGAAGGGCCGAAATGTCCTGACCCAGAAACCTTCGGGTAACAGACATACTAATACCTGCAGGGTGACAAAGCCACGCAGAAGTTATGAACTGATCATGCTGCCACATGCCCAGCAGAGAGCATTGCTACAGCCCTTTCCAATGTTTTACAAATCAGGGTGCTCCTGGTTTGACTCTCCGGGACTCCTGCAGACTCTCCAAAGATAGCAATGACATTTCCTCATCTTTTTACCATTTCTCCCCTGTTTCAAGACAGCAGTTATTTCATAACTTATCTGTGTCTATAGTTGACAGTTATTCTTAGGCAACTGTAAGCTACAAACACAAGTGTCTAGTTAACAAAATATACATGCTTTGTGCAGCATGAACTGCTCTTCAGCCAGTAGTGCACACACAATAGACCTTGTTGCTTCATGAACTAAAACAAGGTAGGAGACACCAGGCAAGGCTTTCCCTTCTTGAGAGACGAGAGCAGGCAGTAGTGAGACCCATGATAACAGAAGAGGGAAAAAAACCCTGTAGTTACCTAACAGTGGCTCAAATCCTTCAGCTCAGACGCGCAGAAGCATGCGAGTTTCTGTAGAAGCCTGATTTATATTAATCAAACCAGCATTGAAAAGCATTACCACAAAATTTATTCTAATACCTGCTGTACCACACCCTAAAAATAACAAAAGAAAACAAGCTGAGATAAAAGATATTTGCTGTCAAAGGTGGGGAAAATACCTTCAGAAAGCCACAATGTTGGCTTCCTTTAAGAAATTAAACAAGAGTGGTAGACATTCTTCAGATTGCTTATCAAAGACAGGTGTCTTGTCTACTTGGGTTTAGCACACCGCCATGACAGGGTAGTGCAGTTCATGACCTGGGGGCTGCAGCCAGCAAGAACAGTTTTTCACTGTTCAAGCACAAAAAGCAGGTAATTCTGTGTAAACCCGGGTCCCGTGAGCTGCTTGTGATACTCTGCACTCTGGACGTGCCCCAAAACTGGCTTCAGGCCCAAATCTTCGAAAGCCTGAACCTTACCTGATATGAATTGATAGCACCTGAGCTATAGAGTGCTTTCTCCCTAGATGAACATTCTTGTGGACAGTGAGGGCAAGGCAACATAATCCGCTTTCTCCACAGGTCATCCGCACACCACAAGACATCCATGGAGAAGCCGGCACAGAGAAACTAGCACGTTTTCAGTTCCTGCCCTCGATCGATGCATTTTGACTTGCGGATTTGCACAAACCTGAATGACTAGAAGAGAGCTGCATGAGATAAGTTGGCTAAGGGATCCACATTAGGCATAGTGACCAGTTGCAAAGAAGAGCAGATTTACCCTTTGTATGTTTTTTGTTCCCAATTACACAACACAGAGGTAAGGTCGAAGATCTTCTGTTTCATGTGGAAATCCAGAGTAAATGACTCGCTACTCAACTTGCTCAGCTGCTGTAAGACAGCTTAACCCTTAAGTTGTTAAAACCATAAATAATTTAAAAAACTCAGTCCAGTAGCAAGACATCAAAAAATACCGCTTGGTCTCCTCTTAGAGCATTCGTCCTTAGCAAAACTCACTTGAAGTGATGCTAGGCGCTGTAAAAGGCACTGAGGTCCTGTGTGCGCTGAACTCTGTAAAACCGCATCTCACCAGGAGGCCACACTGCACATGGCCATGAAGAGGCTCCAATCTGAAAAGCATGGCCCTTTTCCTCACAGTTGAGGGACAGCAGGCTTGCGGTATTTGCACTGGATCCATACTCGATACATTGTCATTTGTTTCCCACGGTTCACCTGCAATCGCCGATCAACCAGATTCTGGATTTTCTCCAGTCCAGCTGTTGTGAAGAGATCATTTAATTCATCTGGAAGCAGAGAGAAGGAGATTGAGGATGCCATAGCTTTTACTTAACTGATACCTGCTCACACCAAGGGCTAAACTCTGTTGAAAGATGGCCAGAGGAAACTCCCAGTTTCACTCTGGCAGGGAAACATAAAGATCAGACAGGACTTAACTCCAGGGGGATTAAGACCACAGTTTCTCTAGTTTCCCTCGAGTTTCCCTTCTACCAAGGAAGGAAATAATTATTTGGAGGACAACTAGAATTAGAGAGACTCGATGGGAAAACAGCAGTGGTTTCAGACATGGGTATCGCCTCTAGTAACCAACTAAGGGAGCATCTTCTGGCAAGTAGGGACAGATCTATTCCTTCCCCCTCCCCCTTCTCTCCAGAGGAATTTCAGAGTCTGCAAGAGCAAAGAACGGGATTAGACCTACACTTTTAAACAGTGGCAATAAGATCTGTGCTATATAGGCTGGAGGGGAATGGGATTCATTAAGTTTAAGTTTGGGGGAAAAAAAAAAATTCCTTAAAAAAACCACACCCTGCCGGGGCCCAATCAAAGCACTAAGAGCCCTGGAGGCTGCAACACTTATACTGGCAGGTATTCCTGACCAAGCAAATAAGCATCACAGTGCCCCAGCACACTGGCCCTGGGCAAAGCCAGACCGAGTCCCGCTGAGCAGCAGAGAGCTTGTTCAACTGCAGCCTAGGAGCACGTGATTTGTATGGAGTTTCTGTAGAAAAGGGCTAACAGGTCTCAGCTTGTGCTCTTTTATCAGATGCTTGCCATCATGAAGTGTTTGCCAAACACGCATTAAACATTAATTTTGTTGTGACAAACAAGACTTGTGCAGTGGGGAAAGGGAAGAGTTTACTGCAGTTGTGCCACTGCTCTAAAACTGACTGTGCAGAGGGGCCCACAGTGGAAGTGACCG